CAGGGGGCACACGGTGATGGTAATCCCCGGGGAGCCGCAGTACCCATCACCTTCAGCAGAGCACCCACCGCACACGGTTGGGGCTGCAGCAGCCGGTGTCACCCCATCCACACGCAATTCCCGCCTGCTGCCTGCATCCAATGACTGGAGCTCCCAGTCACTGCCGGGACACGAAGCACATTATTCCACTGAGATGGGGCGAGATTCAGTGAGATTTACTGGGATTGGGTGAGATGAAAGACTTGAGATGTGCTGAGGGATGGGTGGAGGATGGATCCAGAGGGGGTCCTGGAGAACCCCCCGTGCAGCCCTGGGGCTGTATCCATCCAGCTCTTGTGGCATCTCCTGCTTGGCAAGAGGTGCTGGGGCAGGCGGTTGGCACCGCAGGGACCAGGGGAACACGCTGGACCTGTTCTGTCAACCTCTGCAAACCGCAAATCCCAACCAGGGGATGCACGACGTGACCAGGAGCTGCTGTGGATTCCTGAGCTGCCTTTGGCACGATGCTGCATCCTCTCCATCATCTCTGGGGCTTTGAGAGGCCAGAGAGGAGCTGCAGGCAGCTCAGCAGCACCGAAATTGGGGTCACCCACATTTGGGTTCGTTCCAGTTTTTCAAAGCTCAATTTTGCAGCTGAAATCTTTTCGTTTCATTAAATATTTCAGCATCTTATTAAATATTTTGCATGTAATTCCCTGATCCTGGTTTGCAAGGGACAGGGATGGTCACCCCGACACAGTCCCAGGAGGGCAGATGTCACCAGGACCATGTGTGAGGACCAAGGTTTTCACCCAGAGCTGTCCCATGCTGGGGACGGGCTCTGCTATGGGGCAGGGGGCCTGTGGGGACCCCAAGGGACACCTTCCACTAGACCAGGTTGCTCAAAGCCCCATCAGAGTCCTCTCCTTTCACCACATTTCTGGTGTTTGACTTGCACTACAGGAAGGCTTTTGTCTGACAACTCCAATGACATGGGAGCTGCTTGCTCCCTGCTGCAATGATCCTTAAAAACATGCTAGAAACCACATTCCAATAATCATCTTCAACACGTGCCCAGGGCTAATGTATTAGTTTTTTTACCTTCAGGTTGACTTCAGAGCCAGGTTTGTTTCTTAATGCAGTTCAATTCACTGGGAAAGCCTCAACCTGGACATCAGACCCTTCGGTTTTCCCCCCTGGATTTGCAGCTCCACAAGATTATGTGGTTTCTTGATGTTAGAGCTATTGAGGCAGTATTTGCTCATCCAAAGAAGCATTCCTAGACCTACATTGTGCAGCCCAGAATAAACCCAAGCTTAGCATGATAACTTGGTACTGAAGGATTAAGCTCCAGAAGTTTGAGGGTAGTTGGAGAGCTGACCCCATCTCACATACCTCCAAGGAGCTGGACCTGGAGGTACCTGAGACAGGGAAGGAACCATTCCTCAAGGCTGCCCAAGGGCAGGGCTCTTCCTTTGTGCCTTGTTGGGGATTTCTGATGGTTTGAGGACTTGCTCTGAAGTTGTGTGGCTGAAGTGAAAGTCAACCCAAGGTTCTCTCTTGATGAAAGGATCAAGATCTTAATTCCTTCGCTTCTGAGGTGCTGAGCTTGGATTTCTATTTTCAGCGCTGCTGAATTTCTTAGTGGCTGTAATGAGTTCCAGCTATAACTCCATAACTCCACTCTCCATTTAGCCCATCGCCTTCTCAAGTGCACATTTTAATGTGTTAAGCCACAAGAAGCAGTAGAAGGAGAAGAATTGTGTCTCTTCTATTGGTACAGGAGCTTCTTTCACAGGTAAACCAGTTTTTACAGTATAGAATAGAGGACTGTAGAGAGCAAACTCATGACTGGAGTCCTGGGACATTGAGTTTCAGGGCTGCAAAGAGCTTGAAAAACAGATGAAGATAAACATCATTCCTAACCAGAAATATTTTCATAATGTCACATAGTAAATAGCTCATCCAGGGATTGATTGTACGTAACTTGGTGTTTGCTTATCAGCTGCAGCTTGAACGCAGTTGGTTTGGCTCCCCAGGGATGTGTGTGAGTTCGGAATCTGTGCAAGGAGGAAAACATGGAATAGATAATGGGTAAAAATTGGGATATGATGTGTGTGAATATGAAGGGAAGAGCAGTGGAGGAGAAAGGGGCTCCTCAGCCTCTCTCTGTTGCTCTGGGAAGGGAAAACCAATTCCACGGGTAGAACATGGAATATTTTTGTTTGTTTGTTTCTAAGGAGTTTCTCTTCCAACTC